CTCGTCCAAAGCCTTTAGTTCTAACAAGAACCTAACCGCAAGGCAGCGAGTGAGGCGAAGTGGAGGCCGATGTAATTGGATCAATTACTCCTCTAACATTTTACCGACTGAGACGCTAACTCGAATCGAAATCCCCAACCTGGAGGACCAGGAGACTGAACTTTGTCTGGCCTCTACCCTTGGACCTTCCAGGCATGATCAGATTTGCGGCTTGATAAAAGCCATCCTGTGTAGTTCGTTGGGTCAGAGAGATGCACAAGCCATCAAACCACTTCAAGGTGCAGTCTCGTCGTGACGGATGTGGCTGTAAGAAGCTGAGGGATGTACCATCGATTATGTTGCAGTAAATCGTTCGAGAAGCAGCCTGAATTAAGATGGGGGTAAGAGAGATATGAAGAAATTCAGTGGAACGACGTATGGCACGCGAAGAAACCTCCTCAGTGGGCAAATTAGATCTACTACCGGATTCGACGGTTATCAAGGAAATCGGTTCAATTAAACAGATTGCATAGAATTTTGGGCAGCATTAACGTCTACTGAATGGTCAATACGTTTCTGAATAGACCCTAGTAATCATATAACACAGCACATTTAAAGTCTGCACGTGACTGTTTCTAGATTAAAGATGCTCCAAAAACGGGTGACAATGGAGAGGTTTCTTGTAACAAACTCCCACAGAACTTCATGACCTCCATGAGACCAACATGTCATCACCAAAGAACCAATCTTGATAAATTGGAGAAAACCTCATCTATGGTAGCCCGTGCATCAGATTTATAATCCTCCCACACAGGAATGATTATTGAACCATCTTAGGGTAATTAAACAAGTTTCCAAAATCAAATGTACAGTAGACAGTAACTTAAAAATAAATAAATGTTTTACATTCCTTTTTGTCTACTGAGTATACAAACGAACAGTCAACTTTCAGGAAAGCGGTCGCGGCCATACAAAGGCTGCCTGAAGAATAACAGAAATGGAGATGATCGGTGGTACCTGGATTCGAACTCAGGATCTGCCGGTTATTACTTTGATCACCTTAACCGCCTGTCCATCACCCCTACAGTAATTAAGTGATCGTTGCATGTGACATCATTTGCAAACTGTGACACTGAATTAAACACACGGTCAGGTGACACCCTGAGAAAAATAAACTTACCGGAACAGGGATTTTGACGCTCCGAGTGACAGCACGCGTGAGGTGGGCATGGTAGCTAGCCGAGGGAGCGAACCCGCGTTAGTAATTAGTCGGGCAGCTACAAGTTCAGGTCTCAGAGTATCACCCAGATGCATTATTTTTGTACCACTAACAGATGTGTTGTGAGGTAGAGTGGAATGAAGTAGAGTGTGTAGATTTGGGACGAGCGTTTTAACCCGACGACCAAGAATGATGGCGTAGCGATCCCGCGCCTGTGAAAAGAACAATTGTGATTGCAAGAAACAAGTAAAACCAATGCGTAAAACAAGACAGGATATCCAAATATTGTTAGTCAAATCATCATCATCGTGCAGTGAAATACAGTGAAGCGAACTTAATTGACCGCTGTCTGGCAGCAATTGGTGAAGTTCACCTCACTCTATTTCTCTGCACGATGATTATGATAACCACTGATCGCTGCCAGGCTCAAAATGTACACAAAACCAGTGCAGAAGATGGATAGGGTTTGGGAGGCAAACTGAAATCCTTATGGTCAACACAGATATATACATTATATTTATCATCAGCTTACGAGCAAGGCTGGTGCCAACATAACATGAATAACAGAACATGGGGGGTTGAGATACATCGTAGACAGTTAAGTTGAATGACGAGAATAACAATTGTTTCTTTTACCGTACCCTTTTTGGTATTAATTGTATGTTAGTTTATCGTTTCT